CCCACCCTTACCCACCCATACTGCTCCCAGATGTTGATTCCTGCCCACCTGTGCCCCCATCCCAGCCACCTGGCCAAGCACAGAGAAGAGGCACTTAGGGAGTTTTGGTGCACTGTTTCATGGGTGAGTGCTGTCCTGGCCTGCAACAGCACACCAAAACTCCCCTTGTCCTCTTGTGGCCCACAGGCCCAAATAATTGCCCACCCCTGCTATATCTCATTTCTTAAACACAGACAGTTTGGTAGGGGTAGGTAGGACTTTATCTGTTTAGTTAGTTAGGTTTTTTTATTTTAAATTATTTTGTAAGCTGTAAGCCTTAGGAGTTAAGGCTCCTTCATACTTAGCTGGGGGAGATATGAAGGTAAGATATAAGAAGAGAAGGACAGCTAAACAGATGAAAAGAGATGATGAAAGGAATAAAGGGGTTGAGGAGATGATGAAAGGAATAAAGGGGTTGAGGCAGGGAGGAGGCAGGATCAGTGCTTACCTCTCAGGTCCATGCTATAGTGCAAAAGAGTCAGGCCACTTTCTGCTGCTTGCAGCTGATAGCCAACAAAAATATGCCATTCCTTGAAACAGGAAGGCAAACTGGGATTGAGTGACAGTGGCTTTTGAGAAAATGGTAAGTCCAAGTCACTAACAACAAGGTGGGGAGAGTCTGAGAGACAGGACAAAGAAGTGACTGTACCTGTGGCACAGTAGCTACTAAGGTCAGAGACTGTGCATTTGTATGTGCTTGGACCTGTGCAGCAGGACCATGATATTGATTGGAAAAAAAACAGGCCATATGATTTCCAATATCAGAATTATCTTCTTCTGAAACTTCTGGGTTGAAACAGCATGTGCATTTGCATTTTCTTTCACAGTAGAGTAATTTACTGTACTACTACTAAATATGAATTATAATACCCATAGCAGGGGGCAGCAGCCAGTTATGGAGGAAGAGGAGAGCCAGCTACTAGAAGAGATGAAGACACTGGCTGAGCACATAAGCTGGGCATCAAGGAGTGAGTAAAGGCCGTGGCTGAAAGCCAGCAGAGGCTCACTGCCAAGAAGTAGGAGATAAAAGAGATTTACCAGAAGGAGTTGCTTTTGGCAACTCTTCAACAATTGACAGGGTCCCTGGTCCAAGAAGTAATGTCAGTGGTAAGGGGCATATCCAGCATGAGTGCTCAGTTCATGGTAGGAACAGATGCAGGCCTAGAGTAGGTGCTCTACGTTGGGTATGTCTACACTTACGCTTTACTGCACAGTAGACTAATTTACTGCACAGTAAAGCATAACTATCTACATGTGTGCAGCAATTGGGCCAGTGTAGGCTAATTTACAGCACCATTGGATAGTCCCATCAGACACAGTACTATCCAATGGCAGAGTAAATTACTGCGCTTAAACACACATGTAGACAGTGACAACAGGATTAGTTTACTCTGGCTCAAATTGCACCAAAGTTTATTCAGTCACATTAATTGCATATATAGATGCATCCAGTAAGTGCCAGGTGCCAATGAAAAAAGGGGAATGGCCACTTGGGAGCAACACCTCCTAACAAAATGAGCACATTACCCTTCTACTTTAACTTCCCTACCCCACCCTATCCCTAGGGAGTCAGAGGAGGGACATGCACTTCCAGCTGAAGCAGGGGTGAGGCTAAGGGCAAACATTCAAACCTTTGTCCTAAATGCTTTGAGTCCCTCAGATGAAAAGGTAAAGTATATCTATCCCTTAACTGTAGTAAATACTGTTGTAGGGTTGTTGATTGTAGCTGTGTTGGTCTAAGGCCATAAGCAGACAGGGTTTTTTGGGAAAATATGATATATTTTATTAGACCAACTAAATAATTAGAAAAATTGTTCTTTGGAAGCTTCCAAGCACAAACACCCTTCCAAACACTAAACAAGGGTGTTTGTGCCTGAAAGCTTGCAAAGAACAATTTTTCCAACTATTTAGTTGGTATAATAAAAGATATCACATTTACCCCGCCAAAAAACTTGTTTGTGAATACTGCTGTGTATTTTAACATTTGGTGATATAACCATTGCTTGGTCTATTTTTTTAATATCATTTCTCTCCACCCCTCCATCCCCCACTGCTAGCCCTCATTGAATGCCATTTTAAGGCCAACTTTTCACCCAGTTATGTGCATATAATCCCCGTGACACAGATACATGATCAACAGCCCACCATTGTAGCTGCTGCTCATGGAGATTGTAGTACCTACTTCATAAGCATATTATAAAGATGAGTTAATTCATGTTTATAAATTATTTTGGGATGCTTAAATAAAAGGTATTATAAATGCACAAAGTACTATTATTATTGTTAAAGTTATATAACCTGAACCTTGGAAATACTTGAAACCTTAGTTTTGCAAGATTTGAGTTTGATACACACCAACAATGCTTTGCTCAATTTTTGTCTTGTAATTTTTGTTGAATTCAGATTAAAAGAGTTGTACTCCAGTTATATTCCATTGGTAGTCTGAGGCTCCTGTTTGCTGGGGGAGGGTAGGAGAGGTTGAGTTCAATGTGTTCATTGGGAAGGGTCACTAGAAACAAATCATTTTCTGTGTCCCTAATTGGGTGAGCATAACCCGTATGGCATTGTTAAAAGAAGACATTGCATTCCATTTCTTAGAGAAAGGTAGAATATGTATTTTCCCTGAATTCCCCTACACAGTTAAAAATGAAACCGTAAATTTATCCTGTTTCATTTATCATACAGTGTCACTGTGTAATCAGGTAGAGAGTGGAGAAACTGAGGAGGATCTGTTCCTTTTAATGCCAGTCCCCACACACTGTGCAACTTTGCAGTATGTCTTTCTTGACAAGCTCTGGCCCAGCATATTCCATTTGTGAGTTTGCTCAACCTGAGCAAATTCATTGGCAATTAACAGTCTATGTATTTGCAATAAAATTCAGGCAGAAAGGAATGAGTTCTTTCAGCGAACTTCTGGCTTTGAACACCAATCTAAATTAGGGCTGACAACAAGTCTGTTTTGAACAGAACTTTAAAGGGCTTGCATAGTTCTGTTAACCCACTATAATAAAGAGTCTCCTCCAATACCAAGATATGCCATATGGCTTCCTGTTATCATTGACTGACGGAGGGTTCTTGCCTATCTTTTATGAGCCAAATTTTTCCTTGGCATAAGCCAGTAGAGGTTCCATTTATATGGATAACAGTTGCATTCCACGTGTTAATTTGTTCTTCTGCGTCTATGTATGCTTACACAGGTACATGTATGCTTCTATGTCTGCATTTTCCATGGAAACATTTTCATTGTCCCGCTACATTTTCATTGTTCTGCACCTCCAGTGCAGGTTTTAACCAGTTTTACTAATTAGTAAATCAGCCATAGGAGGTGCATGCTCAGCACAAGAATAAAGAAGCACAGGATCCCATTGTATCACATATTTTTAATGGTCTGTGTTATCTTGTGCCCCATGAAACAAAACTTTATGAAAAACATATAATAGACAGTAGAATCAAAGCAGCAAAGAACATTTATCCCAACCTCAGAAATATGGTTTCAGCATAATTAATTAACATATTGTCTAGCCTCTGGATTTTGCAGCATAGAACTCTTTAGTCATTTTAGGAGACTCAAAGGAAAGTCCAACAAACCATGAGCCAGTGACAGATTTACTGGTAATTTGTCTGTCAATATCAGTCCTAGTTATTTAAAGCAGGTAAATAAGCTGTATATAAAAATGATCTTATTAGAAACCATTATTTTAAAAGGTTGATCCCACGTATATTAAACTCTTGAAAACCTGTTCTACACAGTTGACCAATTTAAAGAAGCTCCTGCTGATGCACAGAAGAAGGAGTTTGCAGATATCATTAAACATCGCCAGATGAGGCTGCAGGTAGCCAAAGCCTTCCTTAATGAAAATTTAAAGAGAGCAGATGAAAATGGTATTCCTTCAATCCAACACAATACTGAGGTAAGGACATTCAATTATAACCAAGATCTAATTTAGCACTAAAGAGGTGTTGTTTGTTGATCAGGATTTACTGCCTGAAGTGAACTGTTAGGCTTGTGACTCGCAATATAATTATTTCTACAATATACTACACTGGCACTTAAATATATTTACTAGACAGGACAATATGTCCAGTTGTTTTTGAATGTGACATAAACCACCTAAAGCTAAAAAAAATTTAAAAATGAGCATGTCTGAGCCATTTTTACCTCCCACTGTTGTGGGGGGAAAAGAGATTCACAATGGCATGCACATATTTCAACAACAACAGGTTACAGAGACTATCAGAATAAGAAGTGCTACAAAAAGAATAAGTAATTTTTGTGTGTTTTCCTACCCAGGAATTTTAATGAATTTATCCCAGAGGGGTATCAGCATGTATAAATCTGAAGGAAAAGAGGGCCCTGAGCACCTTAGAAGTTCAGTTCTTGAAATGAGAGTGGTATCATTGCCTCATGAAAACCCGTTACCACAAAAAGTATTGACAAGCTAGTGTGCATTAAGAGAGCATGAAGAATAACCAAAAGACTGACCAGGAAAGATTAAATGAGTTAAATATGTATAGTTTGGCTTACTGACAGCTAAGAGGAATATCACGGTAGTCTAAAGATACTTAATAACACTATGGAAGGAATGAAGGAATAGGATTATTTAAGAAGGTACAAAGGGGCATAACTAGGAGTAATAGGATGATATTAAGGAAGGAAAAATTTCCTGACAGTGAGATCCATTAGGCAGTGAAATAGTCTCCCCAGGGATGCTCCATCACTTCGGCCATTTAACCTAGACATACAAAACACTAGAAAATATGCTGTGTGAAACAATTTTGCATTGGCAGGGAACTGGATGACCTAAAAGGTACATTGCTAATTTCTGTGATTATGTTATCTTAACACTGATTTTCCTGGCTCAAGTGGTGAAATCATTGTTATTTGAATGTATTTGTTTTCTCTGGGTCTAGTCCAGCTCCGAGGCTAGGTACAGACATTCAAAAAGCATGTGTCTAATGCAGTCAAAATTACACATTTTCTGTAAGCCACCTAGTTTAGATGGGTAGCAAACAGAACACACATATGCCCTTTGGTGGAGGGGCAAATCTTAGCCTGGACTTTTCCATTTCTACACCAGTCAATGTGTACTGAACTTTTGTTCTGTTACAGGTAGAGACTGGCTTTGTGTGCTGAACTTCTGTTATGGGTATAGACCGGTTTCTGATCACTTATACCAGTAAAAGTGTAATGGCTGTACCTGGCCCACAGTGTAGCCAACAGAAGTTTTCAGAGGTAGTTTCAAAGTCTTTGACAGTGTCACCATCTTAGTTTCCTGTTCTAAGAGAGTTATGCTGCAAAAGCCCAACCATTCACTGATTATGACTGTATTACTTAACCAACACACCAGAACAACTCAGTATTATATAAATATTGTTAATCCAGCTTTACTCTTAAGCCATTCAGAGAAACATATGTTTGCCTGTGGAACCTTTCTGGTAAATGTGAACTTGTTTTCAGAAAAATTACTTGTCATGAAGCTAAAGACCAGAAGAGCAGAGGCTTAATAAAGAAGGAACTTCCAAATGAGTTGTACCTCAAAATAACTGACAATGAAAAAAATTGATTTGGTTATAGATTAATTAAATTAATACCTTCTGCAAATTAAGCCAAAAGATATTTTAAAAAATGGCAGAGCCCTCCTAAAGAAAGTTCCCTAAAGTAGGCATGCAGCTCAGGAAAAAATAAAATGTTACAGCAATTAGTTTATCCACTGATCTAGACTCAATTGTATTTATAGCTAACTAAATAAAATAGGTCTATAACATTGGTGTTTTTAAAAATAATATTTGACTGCAATAAGGACTAAGAGTGCTGTAGCCCTTAAATATATAACTACCCTGAAGGTAGACCATACCTATTTTGCAGAAACTGGGCATATCTACATGGGAAAATTAATGCAAAGCAATAAACTCTAGGGAGTCAGCCCAGAGCTGCTCCAACCCAACTCAGTGTGCTGTGGAGGGGCTGACACGGGAATGAGGGTGCTCCAGTGTAGGGCTAGCCAGCAGGGAGCCCCTGCACTGCAGCACCTTCATGCCCCAGCCAGCCCCATCAGCAGCTACATGTGCATTATTGTGCAGTAAACAACACCGCCACATGATAGTACTTGTGTTTACAAGTACTAACTTGCAGCAATATTTATTAGTTTACGTTGACCTAATAGGGCGTCATGTGTACACGCAAAGACTTTCTTGTGGAGCTAATTAGGCAGCTCTTCAGTAAACACTCATGTGGATGCACCCACTCAGTGTTGTCCATTGCCCTTCCAAGGATGATTATTCCTGTGAAAGACAAGGTATATATTAAATCCCCAGGACTGTGTTTTTGGTACTTTCTGTCTATACTGCTTCAGGCTGTGAACTCGTCAGATTTCATAACTTAAGTAGGGTCAGTCTAGGTTAGTACTTAGATGGGTAACTCCAAGGAAATGCACTTGCAGCAGGAAGTGTGTTTTGGTATTAGAATAAACACAACTTTTCTTTTTCAGTCTTTTCCAATGCCCAAGGATGACGTTTGAGGACACTGACCTGGTAGAGGTTTGTCTTCTACCCATGACCTAAAAGGAATATTGTCAGCACATATGGGTCTGAAGGACCACATTTTCAAAGGGCATTCAATCTGGCCTAACTTAAATGCAAACATACTCATTTAAATGACAAAATATACTAGCGCAAAACTAATTTGCACATGTAAATTCTATCCAGTTTGCTTGCATGTGGCAATACAAAAAAATGTCATGTTCTATTTGCTCGGGCAGAATACAACACAAAGGTGGCACAAAATATTAAAAAGATTAACACTACTGACATCTTTTTGGATGAGAGTAGATCAAAACTTGATGTTCAGTCTAAGCCTATAAGATGAAAGAATATTAAAATCATGCTCTTGAGCCAAGACCATGTATACCAACTTTCAGCCTCCCTCACATTTTCATAGCAAAGGTATTAGTCACTAAAATAAGGGTAGTAATGAAATCATTGCCCAACTGTAGCTCTATTGCCAAGAATTTTAAATTGTAAGTTAACCAATTTCTTCTGTAAAGTTCACACAATAAATAAAATTCAGTGTGAAAAATAGAGCCTTTTATTCCTTTGTCAAAATCTGATCACAGTAAACTACAGATGTTAAAAGACACTGTAGTTCAAAGAATTAAAAAAAGAATCTTATGGGGTTTGTATGAAGAAAAGAGTTTAGAGAATAATATGGGAAATATTATAATGCCATTATATAAATCATTGGCACATCTTCACTTTGAATACTGTCTTCAAGTTTGGTCATCTCATCCCTGAAAAGAGATAGCAGAAATAGAATAGCTCCAAAGAATCTCAATAAAAATGATGAAAGGCACAAGGGAGGGGAATTTCATGACAAGAGATTAAAAACACGAGAACTATGCTGTGCCTCAAAGGAGGTCCAACCTCCTGGGGATGTGTGAATAGTGTTTGCACCACTGCCTTCTCAGTGGACAGAGATGGTCTTTTGGCATGTATTTGAGGCCTTGCCATTCTTGATGCTGTGTTATGGATGGTGTGAGCCATTCTGTTGGACTTGTTCTCTCAAGTCACTTAGGCTCTTTTGGAAATTCCCACATTAGTCCAAAGAGCTTTAATTCCCTCCCTGTGGGCTTGCACACTGTGATCCAGTCTTGACTGAGGCCTCCTGACACCCCCACAATATAAACATTAACCATCTCCATGCTCAAACCCAAGTAACGGCCCAGTAAAATGAAAACGATTCTTAATGCTTTCCCATACTGCAAGACAAAATTAAAAGGAACCATGTGAAAATAGATAATAGGCATCACTTTTTTAAACAATGTGTGGTTAATTCGTGGAACTCATTGCTGTAAAATATTATTGAGATTAATAGCATAAAAAGATGTTTACATGATTTGACCTCTACTGGCACGCAAATAATTTCAGAAGTTGCATTAGGGTTAGAGTGGGTGAGATTCAACAGCCTGCATTATGCTGGAAATCAAGTTAAATGAGCATACTGACCCTGTCTGGCCTTTAAAAAAATCTATGCAAGTTTTACTAGCAAGGGTTCCATTACACTGGCTAGTTGTCTGAATAGTTCATGTCATAAGATAGACCCCAGCTGGAATCAGGAAGATAGTGTCTCCATAAATCAGTGAATATATAAGTGTACTGTGAACAGGGATATTTTTCTTCCGAATCATCTTCCTCAGAATCATCTAATACCGGTCTCTGTCAGAGTCAAGACACTACTTAATAAACCAATGGTCTGTTAGGTATTGGATGTCCCATTATTCCTGCAGTAAATGCTGTGTAGCACAGAAATACTGTGCATGGGAGGTCAGTGGCTATCTGACTGTTATTTTGGCGCAGGCATGGAGTCCCTGTATATAGAAGCTCAAGGAAATGAAAGCTTTTTGCAAATCCTGGCTCGAATTTTGACATAGATGGGGAGAATGGGAGGATCTAGGATTTTAAAAGTGGGTGTACAGCAGATAATACCAATGTTACAGGCTGACTCTGGGGGAGAATGGGGGTGAGGAAACCCAGGAAGGAGGAGTCAGACACAGAACAGGGACCCACCTTCTGCTTCAGACACCACCATCATCCTTGGTGAAACTCAAGCAGCTAGCAGCTCCTCATAACTAAAGCTCCCAGGTCAGTGGGGGAAACCCAGGGGAGGTCAGGAAGGGAGCAAGTGCAGGAAGAGGGGACTGCCTGCCACTGCTACTGTCCCCAGCCAAGCTCAGTACCCCATACAACCACTCCCTCTAGCCCCCACTGGAATAAGGTAGGCATGGTCCTGAAGCACCCTCTATGCCCAGTAGGACTGTGCAAAGCTTCAGTAGCCTATTTGATATGGAGGAAATTTGGCCCAATTTGGCAACCAAACCTCCATATCCAAATTGATTTGAGAGACCCATTAAAAAGT